AAGAAGTCTCGGGGCAGACTCGACGTCGGCGTCTGATATCCCTAAGGTGCTGTAGTGTTTCTGTGGATCGCAGGGGCCATCAGGGGATAAGAACTCTCTGTGGGGACCTGCTGGCGGGCCGGCTAACTTCTTTGACGTGCCACCTTTACTCGTGCAGTTCGAGGAGCTGCTGGCGCGAGCACGGACACCGAAACGCTTTCCCCGCTGTCAATCAAACCTGCAGGGTGGGCCCTTTCCAGATTTTCTGTGAATTTCAGCTTTGGCTTCGGCTCCAGCTGCGGGGTGCACCGTGAAGCGCATTCGGGCCAGCATACCCGAGACGGTTTTCAAATCATACGTGTGGCCCCCTCAGCACCACTCCTGCCGCCCCTCTCCCAACCTGCCCCCACAAACCCATCAGTGTCCACTTCCGCAAATCGAGGTAGATTGAATGTCTCGTGCCGCTGAAACCATATATCCGCTTCAATCGTAACAGGTTAATATGTGTATCTCGTTCCCTACATACATCTATATATGTGTATGTCCGCCAATCCAGCGTGTGAGTCTCAAAGACCCTCAGATATAGCCTGAGCCTCAGTTCTTGAGCTTCAGCTCTGCTGGGGGGGGGGCTGGGGGGGGTCTGCCGGGGTAGGGGGGGGGGGTCGAGTCAATTTTGGTGGCAAAATCGGAGCTTCAGCTCACTCCGGGTCGGCCCCTCGCCCCGGAGAGCTCGAACGCGGGCTCATGAAAAACCCAGCGGCCGCCCAGACGGCCCAAGAGGGCCCTGCGTGGCCGAAACATCGCTCCAAGACACTCACCTTGTTCCTCAGGCGGCTCCAGAAGCCTCCAGCGGGCCCTCCCGACACCTCCTAAGAGCTCCCAAAGACGGAAAATCTGTCCCATCCCCTTGGGGAAACGTACATTTGTTGCATTTTCGCTTCTTCGGCCTTCGCAGTGTCCAACACGGCCCAAGAGACCCCCAAAACAGGCCCAGAGGCTCTCAAGAGGGCCCCAAGTCGGCCCAAGAAAGGCCCAAGACGGCCCGGGAGGCCCCCAAGACAGCCCAAGCGGGCCCCAGGACGGGCCCAAGAAGCGCCCAAGAGGGCTCCATGACGGCCCCAGAAAGGCCCAAGACGGCCCAAAAGACGCCCCCAAAATGGCCCTAGGAGTCCCCAAGAAACCCCGAGAGGCTCCAAGTGGCCCTCAAGAGGCCTCCAAAAGGCGCCCAAAAGTGCCCCCGAAGGCTTAAAAATTGACTCCTGCACACCCCCTGGAGGCCTCCGATCACCCCGCGCTGGGGCGAAAGCGTCCTTCTGACAGCTGGATCGTCCCGGATCGGCGGCACCAGCCGGAGGCCTCAACAATATGGTTTTCTCTCTGTCTCTCTCTCTCTCTCTCTCTCTCTCTCTCTTTCTGTCCATTATCTCTCTCTCTTTTTCTCTCTCTCTCTCTCTCTCTCTCTCTCTCTCTCTCTCTCTCTCTTTCTCTCATTATCTCTCTCTCTCTCTCTCTCTTCTCTCTGTCCTTCTTTGTCTCTCTCCGTCGGCGAAAGTCTCTGGGCTCAAAGCTTGAATGCTCGTTCGCGGGGCGACTCAACCGCCACGGCCGGGAAATAATGCCAGACCAGAAGCAGACGAGGTTCGCAAGCAACGCCGTCGCAATTAAAGACAGCAAGAGAAAGTCTGGAAAGCTGGACAGCAGCACACCGAAGGAAACACCAAAGAGCGGGGTCGGAATCATCCGCAGGTCTTTCTGATTCCAAGCACAGGCGCGAAAGGCTCCCAGCGCCATCGCGCTCCGCCCTGGGAGCGAAGACAGAGGGCCAGACGCAGATGGAGCGAGAAGGGTTTGGCACTTTGGATAAGAAACAAGAAAGGGAGAGGAGAAAAACAAATAGCACTGGCGTGGACCCCAAACAGCTACCCTGCGCAACGTACAAGGAACAGCTTGTGCAATCAGTGAAGTGCTGCCCTGTCGCATGGGGCCCTACCGCGTGGGGCCGTATCTACCGGTGGGACCCTATCGGGTTGGCCTCTTGTGTGGTGCCCTATCGTATGGACGCTATCGAACAAGCCCAAATCGTGTTAGATCTGATCGTGCTCGACCAGACTCAGAGGGACCCACGGTAGGGTCCCAGCGAGAACAGGGCGATACTGGCCGACGACATTTGATCTAAATCCCGCCAGGCAGCTGGAATTCATTAGTTGTACCAGTATAAATCCCCTCAGTTCCAGCACTGTTCCGGGAACAATGCGTGACGCCATGCAGCACACAAATTGGCTCAGATTGTATGGATGACATACTCGCGTTTGTCTCGCATTCCGCTCAGCGTCGGGACGCCATATGGACATCGTCGGGCCAGTATGCGGTCTACAACGTTTTTTGTTCAAGTCCCAGACGCAAGCGATGTGACGCAGGATACGTAGTGCCAGCTACGTGGTGCTAGGGATGAGGTGCAAGCTGGGTGGCGCAGGTTATACGGTACAGGCTGTGTGCTATGAGCACCGTGGTGCAATCTGCGTGGTGCACGCTATGCTTAGGTCGGGCATGTCCCCCATACAGGCGGATCCTGGGCGAAAAATAAGAGACAGCCAAACAACGCGCCCCAAAAAGAAGCTCAAGATGGCCAGACCACCGTTCCCCGACGATTGTCTCTGACTGTCTCTGAAGATGCCTCCCGTGCAGGGACACGCCCGACGTGACGCCGTGCGGTGCAGGCGGCTGTGCGGTGCAGGACGCGCGCGGTGCAGGCTGCGCTGGGGGCCCACGGGGGGCGGCCGCGGGTCGGCCGCGGGCGGCCACGGGGCCACCACGCGGCGGCCCACGGGCGGCAGCGCGGCGGCCCACGGGGCTGCCACGGACGGCCACGGGGCGGCCGCCAGCAGAACTCGGGGGTTGCCCGCCCGATTTCCCTGGCAGAAGAAGCAAGAACCCCTGAGTGCAAGCGCTGTTTTGGGGAGAGGGAGAAAAAAAAGAGGTCAACAAAGCAACAGCAGGGCCTCGCTGAAAGAACTTAGCCGCACACTCGTCGTACATCGTAGATCACACCCAACGGCCCTAGGACTTCTTCAGGCCCTGGGGCCGTCGGGGATAAGAAATGTCCGTGGTGCACATGCTGGCAGGCTGGCTGATTAATTGATGTACCTGCTGTGTGCCGAAATCAGCGCTTGCACTTCAGGGCTCCTCGCTGCCGCCGTTGTTGGTAGACGTCCAGGTTCCCAAGTTCCCAGTTCCTGTCTTCCCGGTTATGAGCCTCCAGGGTCTCAAAGATGCTTCGAGGATTTGGGAAAGGATGGGCCGCAATTTCGGTAGGCGGCGGGGTCGCATGTGCGTTGTTCCAATTTCCTAATTCTGACCCCCTAGGTCCTCGCGGATGTTGTGAAGACTTGGAGGGGCAGCTCCGCCTTTCCCCGCAATGCTGCACTACCCTCCACTTCTACACGAGGGATACCCCCTGCCGCCTCGCATGGCCGCCCCCCTCCTGCGCCCCGCCAGCCTCTTTTTCAGTGTCGCGGGCGTGCTCCGCTTGTCTGCACGACAGGGACGGGGGCAGGGCCTGCAGCGTGCGCAGCGCGGATGCGCCAGGGTGGGGCCGAAGCGCCTGGAAAACGCAGGATCTAGGGGAGGCACTGCCAGTGCGATTCTGCACCCCGTCCCTGGGAGGCACAGGGGAAGGAGGAGAGTGAGCAGTTGGCGGCGCGCACAAAGCGGTAGGGGGAGAAGGCTTCCTAAAAGGAGGCCGCCTGCTTCTTAGAAGACGCGGGCCTTCACGTATACATACGTACGTAGACAGACAGATATACATACATACACACATACACCTATACATACACATACCCACATCTACATATACACAGACCTATGCATGTACATATACATATACATGTACACAGTCATATACATATACATATACATATACATATACATTTACATATACATATACATATACACATACATATATAAATACATATGCATACACATACATATATATATATATATATATATATATACATATACATAAACATATACATATACATATACATATACATATACACACATATATATATATATATATATATGTATATATATACACATATACAAATACATACACATATACGTATACCTATACATATACATACACATACACATGTACGTGTACATGTACATATACGTAAACATATGCATGCATATACAAATAAATATACAAATATATATACATATACACATACATATACATATACATATGCATACACATACACATATGCATATACATATACATTTACATATACATAAATATACATATACGTATACATCTACATATGCATATACATATACATCCACAACTACATATACATATACATATACATATACATATACGTATACATATAAGTATGAATATGCATATACATATGCATATACATATACATATACATATACGAATACATGTACATATACATATTCATATACATAAACAGATCGTCATGCAAATATATATATACATATATATATATATATACGTATACATATACATATACATATACATATACATATTCATATACATATACATGTGCACATACATAAACATACACATATGCCTATGCGTATACATATGCATACACATATACATATACATAGACATGCATGCATACATATATACATCGATAACTACATACATACGTACATACATATATATATATGGGTACATATATACATACATACATACAGACAGGCAGACAGACAGACAGACAGACATAGCTAGCTAAGGCCAGCGCCTTCTAAGAAGCAGCCTCTTTCTTAGAAGCCCTCCCCATTCCCCCTACACCTCTCTGCGCTTGGCCAAGGCAAGCACACGACGTCCTTGACCAGCTTGCGCATGACGAGATCGCTTGTCTGCACGAGCTCCTCCCCACCCGCGCCGCTGCGCGCTCTCAGCGGGCGCAGGGGGGCCTGCTCGGCAACGATGGGCTCGGAGCGCCCCGGCCAGGACCCGCCGCTGCAACGCGGGCCGAGGTGCCACCCCCTCACATCGCCCCCATGCCCGTGGAGCTGTAGGGATTGTAGATCATCCTGGCATACGCAGTCCCGGTGAAGCGCGACGCATCGTCCCAGGTGAAGGGCCGAACTCTCACCGCGGACTCGCCGATCGTCATGTCCTCCAGCGTCTCCTTGGCGCGCGCCGCGTCCTCGTCCGTTGCGAAGTGGGCGAAACCGTAGCCCTTAGACAGGCCGCCAGCGTCCAGCTCCAGCTTGCTGTCAAGCACTTCGCCGAAGAGGGCGCAGAGGTCGTCGAAGCCCTGGCTCTCGATCTTCGTGTCGAGGTTCTCGATGACGAGCCGTCGCCCAGAAACCATCGTCTTGCGAATGATCCATCGAGTTCCAACCCTTGAGGCCGTCCGGCTGTAAAGCTTCGCGAAAACAGCCAACAACAACAATAATAACATTATTATTATTATTATTATGTTTCAAACTGTTATATTATCTGCCCGAGTGTCATCCAACGTGTGTTTCCCAAACCCTCGATACCCGCCCTCTTCGTCTTCGATCGAACCCATTTTGGGGGGTATATCTTTCTTCCCTGCAGGCCGGGCCCCGGCAAGCGGCGGGGCGGCCGCGGACCGTCGGCCTGGGCACCGGCAGCGCTGATCGGCGGCAACCCGACCCCAAGAGAGACGGACAGGAGACCGACCACGACGACGACAACGACGACGACGACGACGACGACGACGACCACGACGACGACGACGACGACGACGACGACGACGACGACGACGACGACGACGACGACGACGGCAACGGCGACGGCGACGGCGACGGCGACGACGACGACGACGAGCGAAAGTGAGAGCGACAGCGACAGCGACAGCGACAGCGGGGCCACCAAAGGCACGAAGGGGGCCACGAACGGCGACAGCAGGGCCACGAAGCGCATGCGTACAGGAACACGAAGGGCACGAACGAGCGGGGGCCACGAAGGGCAGATAATGCGGGGCCACATAGGGAGGGCAACGACGGGGCCACTGAGGGTAGCAACGGGGCCAAGTAGGACAGCGAGGAAGCCACAAAGGGCGACAACGGGGCCAAGAAGGGCATATGGGGCCACGACGGGCGCGAACGAGCGGGGACCACGAAGGGTATGTGTGTATATATATATATATATATATATATATATATGAGGCCACGAAGGGCAGCGAGGGGACCACGAAGGTCTGCAACGGGGTCACGAAGGGCACCGAGGGAGCCACGAAGGGCTGCGACTGGGCCACGAAGGGAAGCAAGGGGGCCACGAAGGGCTGCAACGGGGCCAGGACAGGCAGCAAGGGGGCCAGGAAAGCCTGCAACGGGGCCACGAAAGGCAGCGAGGGGGCCACGAAGGGCTGCAACGGAGCCAGGAAGGGCAGCAAGGGGGCCACGAAGGCCTGCAACGGGGCCACGCAGGGCAGCGAGGGGGCCACGGAGGCCTGCAACGAGTCCACGAAGGGCAGCGAGGGGGCCACGAAGGGCTGCAACGGGTCCACGCAGGGCTGCAACGGGGCCACGAAGGGCATCGAGATCCCAAGTCCTAAGTAAGCTGCTAGGGAGTCATAGGCGTAAGCGCGACTGAGCGCGGCGCTTGAGTAAATTGCGGGGAGATCCAAGGCAACAGCGCGATTCTTAATTAATTTGCTAGCAAGTCTCCAGCGAGAGCGCGCTTCCAGAGCGCCGAGAAAGCGATTCTTAAATGAACTGCAAGGAAATCCCAAGCGAGAGCACAACTCCTGAGTAAAATGCGAGGAGGTCTCAGGCGGCAGCGGGGACTTGGCTAAATTGCGCGGAAGTCTCAAACGGGGGCCGTTGTTGCTGTTGTAACCCAGGGGCCAACAGCCCAGTTTGAGCCGAGGGACTTTCCCTATTAAAAAAAGTGCGAGCCCCAGGTGAAGCACTTCAATGGAAAAATGTCACCAGAGGGGGATCATCATTAATCATTCGTCAGTAGTGAGAGCTCAACAACAACAACAACAACAACAACAACAACAACAACAACAATTACTAGCACGTGGGGACACTCCGTTCTCACCAGTGCCAGGGTTTTCATAGGAGGCGGGCAATACCCCCACTTTGTGGGGGGGCCGGTTCAAGCTCTACCAAATTTCCAAACGACTCTTCGCCACCACCCACACCCAGCTTCCCGCCCTATGACGTTCGGACACTTCACTTCGTGGCATGCGGACGACCGTGGCTACTATTCAGGGCCCCGCGGCCGACGACGACGGCGTGCGCGCGCGAAGAAAAAACGAATGTGTCCCGCATGGTATTATTTGACAGGGATGATGGCCCTGGCAGGTGCGCAACCGTTGTCGCAGAAGTTCGAAAAAGTTGCTCGCAAAAGCCCGTTTGACAGAAATGTTTAAAAAGTGTTGGGTTTCCTACGAATCCGCAAGAGCGCGCGGGATGAGATTTTGACATTTTTTTGTTGAAAAACCATTGGTTTTTTGATGTTTTTATGTTAAAATCGCTCCGAACACTAAGCTTTTGGAAGGATTTCGTCTTGCGCGCGCGAATGTCCACTTTACCTTATTTTTTGCAAGGGATTCTTGAAATTTGATTATATTAGAACAAGAAATGTCATTTTATAGTGTTTTTTGCAAGGGAAAGCGGATTACAACAAAACAACCGGATCTGTACACATCGTTTTCCTGAGGCTTCCTCACGAAAATGATGAAAATGTAGCTGCGGCCTAGGCGGCGCAGGGGGGGCGCGCACCAGGGGGCCCAACAATAATTATTCTTTAGAATAAATAATGTTCAACAACAACAACAACAACAACAACAGCAGCAGCAGCAGCAGCAGCAGCAGCACCACCACCACCACCAACAACAACAACAACAGCAACAGCAGCAACAACAACAACTACAAACACAACAGCAACAGCAGCAACATTTATAACAACCAAAACGACAATCAGTTTACCCTCGTGCGCGATGTTTCCACACGAAGCATGCGACCATCACGATAACCATCCCCCACCATGGGGGCTTATTGTTCTATAGCGGGGTCCGTGATTCCCATTCCCAGATATCCCGCCCAATGAAGTCATGCAAACACCTCCCCCGAAGAATTTCGACACACCCCGCCTCGACAACGCATGCCCGCGCCCTGTTGCGCCGATGCGAGACCGCCAGTGGAGCCCAAGCCAACTGTAAAGCACAAGGAAGTATCGAGCGACAAGATTGCCTTGGTGGGGATGGGGGCTGTCGGCGGCGAGGCAAAGACCTGGCCCTGAATAGAAAGGGAGGAAGTCTCGAGCAGGGCCGCTGTTGTTGCTGGGAACGGCGCCAATGATGAAGAGAGTAGGCCGTTAGTCCAGCGTAAGACAAAACGAAGTCTCGAGCGAGAACGTTGGTTTTGTTGGGACGGCGGCTGTCGGCGGCGAGGAGGAACACCGCCTTGAGCAAGAAGGGAGAAAGTCTCGAGCGGGAGCCATGGTTTTGTCGGGACAGGGGTTGTCGGCGGCGAAGAACAGCACCGTCTTCAGGAAATAGTGGGTAGGTCTCGAGCGGGAGCGTTGTTTTTGCTGGGAGCGGCGCCAATTCAAAAGAGAGTAGGGCGCCAGTCCAGCGTAAAACGGGAAGAAGTCTCGGGCGGGAGCGCTGCTTTTGTCGGGACGGCGCTTTTCGGCGGCGAGGAGGAGCACCGCCGTGAGTAAAAAAGGGAGGAAGCCTCGAGCGGGAGGGTTGTTGTTGCTGGGGGCGGCGCTGATGAGAGAAAGAATAGCGCGCACAGTCCAAAGCAAAACGGGAGGAAGCCTCGAGCGGCACTGCTGGCTTTGATGGGACGGCGGCTTTCGGCGGCGAGCAAGAGCACTGGCCCTGAGTAAACAATGAGAAAGTCTCGAGCGGGAGCGTTGTCGTTGTTGGGGGGGCTGGTATTGGCGCCCCCACAAACCGCTCGACCGCGGGCCTCACTTTCAATGAAAATGTAGCCGGCGCCGCGGCGAGAGCGCCAAAGCGCCCGGGGGAAATCCAACAACAAAAAATGTTTTGCGCTTAACACTCGACAACGACAACAACAAACATTTTAAGACTGTTCGCTCTTATCTGATCGCGCGCCATTCAATACACACATCCCAAACCCTGGATACCCGCCCTCTTCGTTTTCGATCGTACCCCCTTCCGGGGGGCATATTCATTCCCTGCCACGTGCGGTTGGTGAAGCCCGTGAAAACGAAACAGATAACGGGGGAGAATGAGGACGAAGGGATCGGAGGAAGGGAGGAGAAGGGCAAGAAGGAGGGAGGACGATGATTTGCACTGCGATTGGCGATTCAGCTTGCGCCAGCCACTCCAGCACAGGTTAACAATAAATTTCGCCATGGGTCGCGCCATTAACAGCGCCACGTACCACCCCCTTGAAAGAACATATCGTGGATACCCCCACGGGGGGACGTACAGCTGCGAACTGGTGTCAGAAACAAATTTCGTGGAACCCTGAAAAGAAGCAGGACGTTGGGAGAGTGGGGCGGAAGGATAGTGAGAACTGCGACCGTGTCGAGAGAAGCGCGGGGATGTGGAGTGGATTGGGATGGAATGGACAAGAGTAGGGTCTCAGGAGGAGGAGCGGCAAGGAGTGGAGAAGAGGAACCAGCAGGAGTGCGGAGGAGCGGGGGGCGCACGGAGGAATCTGGAGGAGGGACTGGGAATAATTTGGAGCGAGAGCGCGATTCTCTGATAAACTGTGAGGAAGTATCAGGCGGGAGCCGCGATGCGGTGGTAAATTGCTAGGAAGTCCCAAGCGAGAGCGCGATTCTTCAATAAACTGTAATGCAATATCTGGCGGGAGCCGTTGTTGTTGTCAACCGGGGGCCAACAACACAGATTGACCCTCAAGACTTTCCCTGACAAAAAACAAGGTGCGAGCGCTGGGAAGGGCACTTCAATCGAAAAAACAATGTGCACCGGACGGGGGGGATAAACAATAATTATTCTTCAGAAATGAGAATTCAACAACAACAACAGCAACAACAACAACAACAACAACAACAACAACAACAACAACAACAACAACAACAACACATTATTTGGGCCTACTGGGGTTACCCCTGGGAGGCTCCAGGGCCACCTGGGAGCCAGCTGGGGGCCTCCTCGGACCCTCTGCAGACTATGCTAAGATGGCTGGCGTGGGCCAAGATGGCCCGTCTGGCGCTGTCGCGGAAACCTGCCTTGCCTTTTCCGGCCGTGCCAGGCCCAAGACGGGATCACGGGCCGTGGTGCTACGATCTGCGCCAGTGAAGGGGTCGATCCGCCAGAGTGAAGGAATATCCCCCTGGGGCCCTGCAAAGACACCTGCATTCTGCAATGTTCTGCAGCCCCCTGCAAGCGGGACCCCTGCAACACAGTCTGCCATGTTCTGCAAACCCATGCGATTACCATACAAACGGCTGTGGACCTGGAAAGCCTTCATCCACCTCTTCTTCCTCCTCCAATTCCTCCTTCTCTTTCTCCTGGTATGTGCCTCCTCTTCCTCCTCGATGTTCTCCCATTATTCCTTCTCCTCCTCCTCCTCCTCCTCCTCCTCCTCCTCCTCCGCCTCCTCCTCTTCCTTCTCCTCCTCCTCCTCCTCCTCCTCCTCCTCCTCCTCCTCCTCCTCCTCCTCGTCCTCCTCGTCTCTCTCGTCCTCGTTGTCCTCCTCCTCTTCGCGCTCGGGTTGATGCCAGCTTCGGTTTGACATGTGGGCCCTGCTTGTTCCTAAGCATCTGGATTATTGTCAGTAGGGGATCACTCCTCCCGCCTCCTGCCCGGAATCACCCACACTCAGCTACTTGTACTCAGAGCTACTGATGCTGCTGTTTAACTCAACGGTCGGGCTCACTCATGCTCGGCCTCGCTCGCGCTCAGGCTCACCCGCCCTTAGCTGTGCACACCCAGACCCAAGTACAGTTCAGTTCACTCACACTCAGGCTACACTCCTACTCCGCCTCGCTCACTTTCAAACACAATCACGTTCAGGCTCACTCATACTCAGACTCTGTCATACCCAGACTCTCTCACACCAATCACTCACACTCAGACTTCCTCCAACGCACAGCCCAATGGTTATCGCGGTGTCGGGAGCACGACATCTGGACCTCCCAGAATCCAGTCGCGAGGAAATATTGCACGGGCTCGCTCGCGCCGAAACTGTCGGGGCATCCCAAGCAGAATGGCACTTTAGGGGGGCCGAAGGTTTTCTCTGCATCACCGCATGATCATCGCGATGCAGCAGGCACAGAAAGTGGCAAGTGGGCCTCCCGAGAGTGAGCCGCCAGGGGATACTGCACGAGCCCGTCAACTAAGTAACTGAAACCAGGGCTGGACCTACACGTTGTTTTTCGTTTTGACTGCGTTGTGCTTTTCGTTTTGCTCTACCTGTATTTCCTGTACCTCCCTGCCAAAACGAAAAACAAGACACAGCCGAAGTCCAGCAAAACAGCGTTTAGATCCAGCCCTGACTGAAACAAAAAAACGGGGGGAAAGAAAAACGGGGGGAAATAACAAACTCTGCTGGGGGGTAGACGCCCCTCTTTTGAGAACCACGACATGATCATCGCGATGCAGCGCAAGCACGGCACCTCGGCCGCTCCGCGGGGAGACGCCCGAGGGCACTGCACGGGCCCGCTCGCGCCCCGACGGCTGGGACCTCTGGAGCGCAGAACCGCCGACTGGGAGGGTCTGGCGGGAGACGCGTCCGTTCCAAAAAGCCCCTACCATAAAGATCAGCTCTCCCCTCGTTGTGAGTACAGCGGATGGGAGCGCTTGGGAGCGCATGGGAGCGCCTGGGAACGCTGGGTGCGCTTGGGAGCGCCCGGAGCACCTGGAAGCGCCTGGGAGCGCTTGGGAGCGCCTGGGAGCGCTTGGGAGCGCCTGGGAGCGTTGTGAGCGCTTGGATCATCACGATGCACCGGTCACAGCACTTGGGCCGCCCAGAGGGGGGCCGCCAGGGGGTATTGCCGCGGGCCCGTTCGATCCCAGGTTGTCGGGACCTCCGGAGGCATCACGGCAGCTCGGAGGGGTAGACGTGTCTCTCGAGAGAGCCCCGTGACCATCGCGATGTAGCAAGCACGGGATTCGGGCCACCCGAAGGGGAGCCGCCAGTGGGGATTGCCCGGGCCCGTTGGAGCCCAGACTGCTGGGGCAGAATGGCCGGTTTGGGGGGTAGGCGCATCTCTTTTCAGAACCACATGGTCATCGCGATGCGGCAGGCACGGCCTTTCGGCCACCCCGAGGGGCGCCGCCAGGGACATCGGCATGGGACGACCCCAGACATCCGACGTCTCGTTTTTGTTCGAGACACGGGCCCCCGACCTCCCGACCACTTCCCCGGGACCGGTTTTTCGTCCCGAGTCGTTTTCTGACGGTCCCAAGGCCCCGCGAGGGCCAAAAGAGGCCCAAAACTGCCCCCCCCCCCCCAAAAAAAAAAAACTCTGTCTCGATGTCTTCGAGGCGCCCGATGTCTGGGAAGTCTGAGCGTCGTGCTCCTGACGCGTGGCCGCGCCTGCCGCCGGGCGGGCGCGTCGGGATCGGGAGCGGCCAAGAGGGGGGTGTCCAAGAGGGGGGGGTGCAAATCCTGACCGGCGGCATGTGCGCGGCCCCGCGGGGGGGCCAGGGACGTCATAAAGTAAGAAGAGGCGCCACGAAATCTGGGGAGATATCGTGGCCCCCGCCATGATATCCACCCCCCCCCTAGTCATCACCCCCCTCTTTCCCGCCCCCGACGGGAGGAGGAGGAGGAGGAGGAGGAGGAGGAGGAAGAGGAGGAGGAGGAGGAGGAGGAGGAGGAGGAGGAGGAGGAGGAGGAGGGAGCGGGGCGGAGCGGATCGGCTGTCCACGAAGGGAGCGGCCGAGCCCCCCCCCCCTGCCGGGGGCGAGCGCGAGCACAGTTAGTTGAGCGCTCGGCGGCCGAGGGTTTTTAGCCCCTGCAGGGGGAAAAAGCGCAGGGAGGGGGCAGGGAGGGGGGGAGGAGGGGGCAGGAGGGGGGGGGGGGAGGAGGGGGAGGGGGGGGTCAAGAGCGAGGGACACGGGGGGGGAGCCGGGAGGGGCAGGGGGAGGGGGAGGGGGGGGAGGGGAGGGGGGGGCAGGGAGGGGGGGGAGGGGGGGAGGGGGGGAGGAGCGAAAACATGTCCGCGACAGGGGCAGGGAGGGGGGGAGGGGGGAGCAGGGGGCGGTGGCCCGCCGAAAGGCGCCACCGATCTCCAGGGTGCTCCCCAGCATGGCGCGGGCCATCCTGCCGCGCACCTGGGGAGGAGCAGGGGGAGGGGAGGGAGGAGAGGAGAGGAGAGGAGCGGAGCGAGGAGGGAGGGAGAAAGGAGGGCGGAGGATCAGAAAGGAGGGAGGGAGGGAGGGAGGGAGGGAGGGAGGGGGGAGCGAGGAGGGAGGGAGAGAGAAGAGAGAGGAGGAGCAGAGACCAGAGTAAGCCCAAGATGCATCAACGATGCTACGAAGCACCCTCCCATCCCAAATCCCGTGGGCCTGCCGTGCAGGCGAGACCCCACTCTGTAAAGGATCCACATTCCATCCTCCGAGCTATGAGACACGGGACGCACAGGGACGCACCAATACTGTACGCCCTCCTTGGGGGCGCGCGTCCGACCCAAACATAGAGTACACCCATCTTGTAGTAGATCGTTTCCCCGGCGGTGCAGCCAGGAAGTGCCGCCACGACGCATAAACTATAAGATTGCTCGGTGCGCGCGTCGCCCCAGGGGGCGACTCACACATAGTACGAGTGTGTTGAGGTGACGCCGATCTAGAGACATGCGAAGAAGTAGGGCCATCAGTTTCAAGCAGGTGTCCAGCGAGGATCCCTTCTTAATGAGAACGGTGCGCCCTCCATCCGTGCAAGCGTTGCAACAGTTCTAGGAAGTCTCAAGCGAGAGCCCCAGTTTAAAAACGGGGACGCCCCCCGCCCCTGCAAATGCTGCAAAAGTTTGAAGCTTCGGATAGGAAAGCTTGAGGAAATCCCCAGCGGGAGCCCGATTTACAAATGAGCAACCCTGCATACGCGTGGTTTAAAACGAAGTGCGCGGCGCCGCACCGAGAGCACCATCTTGAAAATCAGCCACCCTCCATCCAAGTGACTGCTGGCCCTGTTTAAAGAAAAGTGCGCTCGGCGCCACGGCGAGAGCCCAGTGATGATAATTAGATGTGCCACAGCCGAGCAAGTGTTAGAAATTCCCGGTTTCGGAATCATAATGCGCGACGGCGTCTCCTGCGGAACGACCAGCCCTCCCAACGGCACGCCTGGTGGTGCGGCAGGGAGAAACTATCTCAAAGACAGAAAGGCGGGGACAGGAGGAGGGAGAGAGGCGAAGGGAGGAACGACCCCCGTGACCGCAGCGACAACAGGATCCTGGCCCCTACGCGGGCTCGCGGCGCCGAAGAGGATACCTCCCCAGAGCGCCCTCATTTCGACCCACTCTGGAAGCCCTACGCCCACCGTCTGGGGCCTCCCCCTTGCAGCCCCAGAGAGGTCGAGGGCGAACCCTTCTCGGGGGGGAACGCCGACTGCACACCTGCGCCGACCCTGGCCAGGCCCGTCTGGGGCCCAGGACCAGGGCACGCACCCCTCCCAGCCTTGGCCAGGAAGGCACACACACACACGCACACACACACACACATACACACACACACACACACACACGCGCACGCACGCACGCACGCACGCACGCACGCACGCACGCACGCACGCACGCACGCACGCACGCACGCACGCACGCACGCACGCACGCACACACACACACACACACACACACACACACGCACGCACGCACGCACGCACGCACGCACGCACAAACGCACGCACGCACAGCACCACGCACACTCACACACACACCACACACACACACACAACACACACACACACACCACACACACACACACACACACGCACGCACGCACACACGCACACACAAACACACACACACGCACACACGCACGCACGCACGCACACGCACACGCGCGCACACACACACTCTCTCACACACACACACACACATATATACACACACCGCGCACGCGCACACACACACACACACACACACACACACACACACACACACACACACACACACGCACACACACTCACACACTCACACACACACACACACACACACACACACACACACACACGCACACACACGGCGCACCCACACACACACACACACACACGCACGCACGCACGCACGCACACACACACACACACACACACACACACACACACACACGCAAACACACGCGCACACAGATACAGACGACACACACAACCACACACACACACACACACACACCCACACACACACACACACACACACACACACACACACACACACACACACACACACACACACACACACTCACACACACACACACACACACACACACACACACACACACACACACACACATACACACACACACACACACGCTTCTTGGGCGCCGCGGCCACAGGCGCAGCGCACGGCGCAGAAAGCCAGACGAAGAGACGCGCGCGGCCAGCCCGAATCACGCGGCGTGGGAGATACTGGGTCCGCCCACAGGGGATCTACAGCACCACTCTGGGGGGGGGGCGGGGTGCAGGCGCGAGGGAAGCAGCCAGGAGAAGAGGGTGACGGGGAGGGCGGGGGGCGGGGAGACGGCGAACAGCCCAGTGCACAGTGCAGTCGACTGGGAGGCGGCGCAGGGACGAAGCACGACGGCGGCCCGAGGAGGGACGAGGCAGCAGCAGGCAGACGGCCCTGGGCGAACCGGATGCAGGGACGCGACAGCGCCAGCGAAGCGTCGCAGCAAGGAAAATCGGTGCCGCGCAGCCAGCGACAGGGCACGGACAGGAGGCAGGGAGCCCCGAGGAGGAGAGGGCAGCGCATGCGCAGCCGATCGAGGAGCAGACGGCTCGGAGGGGCGCCGCGGGCGCAAGCAGTGGAGAGGCGGGGACGGCTGCGCGGGGCACCGAGGGACGGGGCGGTGCCTCCGTCGCCCCCGGCCCACGGCGAGAACCGCCAGGCGGGCAGCCGTCCGCGGTCGGGCGAGGGGAGGGGGCGCCGAGGGCGGGAGGCAGAAGGAGGGGCCAGACGGGGAGGGGGCGCGGCGCACGAGCGCCGCCACGCCCCGGGCCGAGGGCCTGGGCCCCCAAGGGCGGGGGCGACTGCGCGGGGACACGCGGCGGTGGCGGAGACGGCGCACCCTCTTGAGGAGTCCGGGCCACGACGGGCGCCACGGGGGGAGAGGGCCGAGCCTGTCACCGCGGTGAGAGGGCGGGGGCCCGGCGCCAGCGGGGAGAGAGTGCAGGGAGGCAGCTTCGGCGGGGCGCGGGCTGGGCGCGACGGGTCTCTGGAGGATGGTCGCTTCTTGTGCCTCCCAGCGCCCCGCGGTGGTTGGATGGTCACCGACGGGGCTGCCCCCGACCAGGTCGAGGCCGCGGACACGGGCCCGTGCGCGCCAGGCGGCGCCAGCTTGGTGCTGGAAGGGGGCGCCCCACGAGTGCGGATGCCAGTTGCGCGCTGGGCCAGAGTACGTCGCTCGCTCTCACTTCCTCTCTGGGGTGCCGGCGACGGCCGGGGCGAGGTCGCGCGCGGACGCATCGGCGCGTGGCCTGACGGGGGCGGGGGCGCCGTCCGCCAAGGGCGTGGCGTGGGCGGCCGGGGGGCGAGGCCTGGAGGGGTCTATAGTGAAGGGGCGGCGGGAGGGCCGCAGACCCGACGACACCCACGCGCGCGGCGGCGCGGCGTGGCGGAGGTCGAAGAGAGAGGCGCGCGGGCCAGGCCAGCTCACGCAGCAGGAGCCATGTCCACCACCAACACACACACACACACACTGAGAACAACAACAATAATAATAATAATAACAACAACAACAACAACAGCAGCAGCAACAACAACAACAACAACAACACAAACAAACAAACAAACAAACAAACAAACAAACAAACAAACAAACAAGCAAGCAAACAAACAAGCAAGCAAGCAAGCAAGCAAACAACAACAACAACAACATCAACAACAACAACAGCAACAACAACAACAGCAACAGCAACAACAACAACAACAACAGCAACCACAACATCAACAGCAACAACAACTACAAAAACAACAAAAACAATACCAACAACAACAACAGCAGTAGCAGCAGCAGCAACCACAACAACAATAACGACAATAACAACAACAGCAACAACAACGACAACAACAACAACAACGACAATGACAATGACGACAATGACAACGACAACGACAACGACAACGACAACGACGACGACAACGACAACGACAACGACAACGACAAGGACAACGAAATGCCATAGCGAAAACGAAATTCAACAACGTCGTCATTATTCGAAGGGAGGCCCCTTCCCTTTCATCCCCGCCCCAAGGGGGGGGGTCCCAGGAGGTGGTCCCAGGGGGGTGGTCCCGGGGGGGGTCCCGGGTGGGGGTCGCACGGGGGTCCCGGGTCAGAATACCATCCCCCCGGGGGGCGGGGGCCGGCCTCAAGAAAGTCCGCAGACGAGCCAAGAATGCCCCCAGAGGCGCCCAAGACCTTCCAAGAGGACCCCGAATCGCCAAAGGATCGGTTCAAGACATTTTGACAACCTCCAGACGGCCCTCGAAGCCTGCAAGACGCCCCAAGAGACATGGAGGAGGACTCCCATGAGAGCCCCAAGAGGGACAATGTATTCATTCTCGCATCGTTCTTTGAAGAATTTCGGCATTATCGCCTTTCCCGCTTCCCGATTTCCCCCGAAGATCGCCCCAAAACGCTTCGAAGAGGCTCCCGAAACCGTCCTCCCCCTTGCCCCCGCTTCCCATCCTCACCACCTCCTCCTCCTCCTGCTGCTCCACAGCATCCTCCGCGTCCTCTTACTCCTCCTGATCTTCATCCTCGTCTTCGTCGTCCTCCTCGTCTTCGTCGTCGTCGTCTTCAGGGTTAGCGGCACCGGCCGCAGGCCTTTGCAATAAATCACAAGGAACTCCCACGCGAGAGAGAGCTTCCTGCATACATTATCAGAAAGTCCCGCAATAGAGCGCGACTTGGGAATACACTGTGAGGAAGCATCAGGCGGGAGCCGTTGTTGTTGTAACTCGGGAGCCAGGGGCCAAGTTTGGTGACATCCAGCTTTCCCTTGTAAACAAGAGGGTGCGAGCCCGGGGAGAAGCACTTCAACTGATAGGTGCGATGGTTACTGGGCAGGAGGAAAACAACAACAACCAATATGTTTATATATGTATAGAAATATTGAAAACAAC